CAGGAGAGGTCCGCCCCGCCATGTGGTCACCTCCGGGGCAGGCGGGAATCGAACTCATGCGGAAGTGGCGTTAGATTCTCAGTGCTGCGCTTCAACCCGCTGCACCACCAGGGAGGGCCCAAGTTTTGTTTTTTTTTAATCTACTAATAGTAAATTCTTATAATGAACTTCTTATTGACTGGACTAGCTTAATATCCTTGGGTCATGGGCCCTCCCTGGTGGCGCAGCAGGTTAAAGCACAGCACTAAGAAGCTGAAGCCACTTCAGCATGAGTTCAAACCCCGCCCACCCTGGAGGTGACCCACATGGTGCGGAAGACCTCTACTGACCCGCCTGCTGCGCTTCTCAGCAGTGTACTTTGTAGATCTGCTTGTTCTGCTCCCCGCTCTGTCTCTGGTGAATCCTCTCACCGCCCCTGCACCTCTGGCCTGTACCCGTTCTGTATGCATAAATAAATAAATCTTTAAAAAAATATCTTTGGGTCAGTGGTGGGACCTAGCTCAGTACTTTGCACTTAGTGAATGCTGAAATATTTAATACAGTTACTCTTTTTGTTCTTGTTTTTAAATTTTTTTTTATTACATTATTGCTCATTTTTGTACAGTGTTGGATTTCTCCCCTCAGGTGTAGTTCTCCCATCACCATAGTGCCTTGTCCTCTTCTGTCCCCTGTTCTGACTCCTTTCCCTCCCTTCCCTTGCTGTATACCTCGGATTATGGTCTGTTTGCAAGTTTTATCTGTTTCTCTATAGTCCACATGTAAATGAAGCCATCTGTATTTATCTTTCTCCTTCTGACTTATGTCACTGAGCATGACCCCTTCCAATTCCATCCATGTTGCCACAAATGAAACGCGTTTATCTTTTTTGATTGCAGAGTGGCAGTCTATTGTGTTAATACCGTTGCTCTTAAGCATTCCATGTATGATGGTGACATGGTGTATAAGCCATAGCTGTATTTAGACTTTATTAGCCCATATATTGATGGATAATAAATCTCTACTCAGTTTTTCAAGAATGCTTTATTATGTGCTTTAAAGAAATTGACACATTACTATAATCGCAAAAAAAAAATGTCTTCTAATTGGTGCATTTAGAATTTAGATATATTTTGCAATCAAAATGAAATAACTAAGATAAAACTTATATGGAATTTTTTTTAAATAAAAAAGATTTATTTTTTCATACAGAATTGGGTTATAAGCCAGAGGTGCAGGGGTGGTAAGAGGTGGTAAGAGTGGGGAGCAGAACAGGCAGATTGACAAAGTACACTGCTGAAGGGAGCAGCGGGCAGGTCAGGAGAGGTCTTCTGTGCCATATGGATCACCTCTGGGGCCAGGGATCGAACTCACACTGAAGCAGCTGCCACCAGCTTGCAGCGCTGCATCCTAACCAGGGAGGCCCATGATATGGAATCTTAACCAAAGTTATTTTGCGCCACCAGGGAGGCCCATGATATAGAATCTTAACCAAAGTTATTTTGCACCACTATGGAAGGTGACAGTTTAAAAATAATAATGAAGAAGGTTGATCCCTGAGTTTTACATTGAGTAATGAAATACAACATTTTTACAAACTATTTTTTCTTATAATGTAGATTTTTTTACTTTTGTGTTTTAATAAAAAGACTTGCATTATAATTTTAGACTAAAGGAAACCAAATAAGCACAGGGATGAAATGTACTATAAACGGAGCTTGAACATTAAGAGTTACTTTTCTATATGAATATCGTAGGTCAGAGAGGTAGAACTTGGAATGAGGTAGAACCACTTGTAAACTTACCGTAAGGGAGAAGGATAAAACAAGATCGACCTTGGTCAAAAACTTTCAAGAAACCCTAGACAGAAGTTAGGAAAAAAGCCACCTTTCAAAAGATTGTTTCATCTGAGGAGTTTCTTTTTTTT